GTGGGGCTGAGAGAGCTCTGACAGAAACTGCTCTCTTTCAAGAACAGCTGTGCCAGAACTATGGCTTGCCCAAGGTCATCCAGCAGGTGCAAGTGGAGGAGTGCTTAGCTTCAGGGATCTGATAAAACCTGGCCAAAAATACCAGGGGCCATCAGGAGGTCCAGCGGTGGGGCCAGGACACTAGAAGCCCTCCCACTGTTGCCCCCCCCCCAGCACCAAGAATACAGTGCATCACTTGCCCCAGACCGAGAGTTCCTATCTATACCTTGTGGCTAATAGCCACTGATTGACTTCTGCTCCATATGCTTATCTAATTCCCTCTTGAAGGACAAGGAAGAATAGAGGAGAACATGTCCCTAAGTCAAGTCAAACAAATGAAGACCATGAATTGCTTATTGATCTCACGTCTTCAGAGCCAGTACCTAAGAGGGATACTGAGCAGATGAATAATCAAATGCATTTTTGCAACTCTGAAAAGCTGCCATCCCAAAATGACTCTCCACTAGCTCATATGTGGAACTGAGGGTATGGAAGAGCGCTTATTAGGATCTTTTGGTGCCCTGCCATTAAAAGAACAGGATAATATGCTTCAGAGATTACAAAGGTTGATTACTGCCTTACACGATATTCAAACACAATCCGATCATAAATTGGATGGACTTATCCTCAAATTGAGGAATCTGTAATAAAAGTTGAAATGAAGGAATGAACCTTGTTGTCTTAATTTTCGTTGTTGCAAGCTGAAAAACAAGTAGCTGAACAGTATTTGGGTTGTGGTTGGTTCCTTTCACCTTGGATTTTGCTTCTTTTGCACTAAGGATAAAAGATCCCTTGCAGTTCAAAGCCAGGTGATGGTTAACACAGATGGCCTGGAGACTAAGGCACCCATGAGTAGCTGTTTCCCATTAACCTTCCCAAGACCAGTCTGGCCACAGAGACGCATGGCTTGGTGACTTTCAGAGTCGTAATGAAGGTTGTACTGGGGTGCCTTCGAAAGTGTTCGAAAACTGCAGCTTGGTTCAGAATGCAACCACAGAGGGGATGCTAGCACAGGTGAGCTGCACAGCTCCGATTCTGCAACAGTTTCCCTGGGTTCTCAATCATTTCTGGTCCCCTTTAAAATGATCACTTTGCCTGAAGCCCTAAGTGGTTTGGGACTAGGGAACCTCAAGGATCACCTCCTCCTGTAAATCATCGTCATCTCATCGCCACAGTTACCTCTAAGCTGTGCCAGGCAGTGCTGGCGCACAAAAGCTTAATAGGCAGCTCAGGGATTTGAGAGCATCTGCTCAGAAGATTTTGGTTTTTTGGATGGTGGCACCTCCTTCTAAAAAACCAATTTACGTGACAGTCAAATGTATACTCGCTCACAACTTTAACGCTACTAGTTTCTTTAGCTCACGAGGTAGAATTTCTACTCACAACACTGTGGAGCTTAGAGGGAACACTGATCATCACCGACAAGTGCCACCAAGTTGCAACCAACTCATGGTGCCCATTCATGGAGTCTTCAAGGCATGAGAAGCTCAGAGACGGTTTGCCATTGCCTTCCTCTGCATAGCAACCCAAGACTACCTTGGTGGTCACCCATCCAAGTACTAACTAGGGCTGTCCCAACAAGTGTTTCAAATGCTGCAATCCGCTTAGAGGCTGGCCTGGTCACGGTGGAGGCAAGATTGTGGATTGCTGCATTTCATTATTGGTTAAAACTGATTTTCTTATCTACTGGCCTTTCCCATACTATGATGCAAGACAACTTTGTTCCTTTATGGCGGAAACAGATAGAAGATAAACTGGTCTGTTATGGTTTTTCAAAACAATTTATTCTGTCTTTGGGACATGAGCAGGCTAGATCAGTTCTAAAACAAAGAATATTAGATGTTGAACGACAGATGGATGTGAGCAGGATTAGGAGCCCTGTAATTGATATAAGTACACTTAACAAGATAACTTTGAGATCTTACATCAAATATTTAGATATTTGCAACCATAGAAGAATTTTTACCCTATTAAGATACAACGCCTTACCCTCAGCCATAATGGAGGCCAGATATACTAGATCACAGAGGAAAAGTTGTATATGTGGCTTGGGAACTGACAAAACATTGGAACATGTAATTTTTGACTGTATTTTATATCAAAATATTAGGGAAGTTTTGATCAAGCCTATAGTTAACTCCTTTCCAGGTCGTAATAGAAGCATACTTTTGTCAACTATGCTGGCAGGGGATAACCAAAAGCTGATTAGGATGGTTGCCAAATTTGGTAGGTTGGCATACCAAACTAGGAAAGAAATAAAGTACAGATAGGCCTAAATCTAATTTCTGATCTTAATATTGATTTTATCATGTCTGTACTTTAAAATTTTTAGCTCTTATTTATAATTCTAGATCCTATAATATTTTAGAATTTTATTGCTTCCTTATCTGTACTTATTTGTTATCTATTATACTGGTCTATGACTGTAATAAAGGCTTGATATATGTAACTAGGGCTGCCGTCACACACACTAAATAATCCACTTTCAATCCACTTTCAATGCACTTCCCAACTGGATCCTGCCAGTTCACGCAGTAAAAACCCAGCTGGAAAGTGCGCTGAAAGTGCGCGGAAAGTGGATTATTTAGCACGTGTGACCGCAGCCTAAAACTAATCCCGTTTAGCTTCCAAATTCTGACAAGTTTGGGTTAGTCTGGGTTATTCCTAATCCAAAGAAGGCTTGTGCTGGGTGACCACTAGGGTATGGTGGACGGCTACCGATCTTGAACTCTTTTTGAAGGATCACTGCAAGACGAACAGATTCCCCCAAAGAAGCCTCTTGGCGAAATGCCGTGGGAATTTGGGCAATTTTAACTGAGTAATGAAATATATTTTTACACTGGCATTTTTTTTTAAATCCCGGATGGCTAGATGACACAGGGCTTTCTCAGTGGTGGCACTGAAGCTGTGAAATTCCTTCCCCAAGAAAGCCCATTTAGTTTTGCCCCATTCTGCTTTCAAAATCAGGCTAAAACAGCATGATGTGAATTGATTATGGTGACGAGTTTTCAAACTGTCACATTTGTGTGCCGGCCAGTATTACATTTGTGTACCAGCTGGAACCATTTGTGTACCAACTGGTATCTAGTGTGTTGTGTGGTGGTTCATTAGTTTTGTTTAACATTATCGTTTGATTTCAATTTTGCTTTAAGCTGCTTTGTAGATCTGTTAGCATCAAAAGGCGGGACAGAAATATATTCTAAATTGAAAGAACCCTCTAATAAAGAATAAAAGGCCTCAGCCAACCACCAATATGGTGATGCTATGAAACAAAAGAGTTGACATACTGAACACAGTTACAGGAACTAATCGTAATGTGGTAGAAGAAAGCTGCTGCATGAATTTGCTCTAGAGCTGCAGTCCCTTCGTTGGAGGCATTTCCCATTGAAATCAACAAGCCCCACTCCCAAGGAAACCTAGGGCTGGGCTACGTTACATTAACTTGTGTTAAAGAGTAGTTTTGATTGCTCAACTCAGGTGCCATATCCAACATATCAACTCCAGTGCATTTATTTCATTAACAGAAACCTAGTTTGAGAGGCTGGCTAGCAGATGGCGTTCTGGAAAACCAGCCTGAGAATTCCATCTTCCTAGTTCACACAATACAGCGCCAAACAAGCCATACAGATGGCTGCCTGCCTCGGAAAACGCAGCACAACACAGAATCGATGTACAGCTTTCATTAGCAGCTACAAGAGAACAATATCATAAACTACTCCCTGCATATGACACTTCCTTTATTTCGAAAACGTTCCCCTTCAGGCAACTCCCTTTGTAACAGAGTTTAACCGTTAGTTTTTTTCTTCTCCCGTCAATGGATGCCGGCGTCAGACTGAGAGGGGCTCCCTTTTCTTGCTGGCAGATGAAGGAGCTCCTTCTCCCACTCCACCTCGCCTCTGCAAAGCCATCACTTCCATACAGCGGCCTTTGTAGTCAGCCCTTTCAATGTGTTCAAAGCCATCCTCGCGTTGTGAGCGGCTGGAAGGCCTGTGCCCACGGGCTACAGACACTACCGACTGCCTGGAATCTCTGATACTCAGAAGTCTCCCAAGGATCCCTCTCTGCAGAGTGCAACTTTTGAGAGCAAGAGGCAACTAAACGCTTGTTAAACAAACAAAAACACCAGATCCAGGGGTACACGTTTAATTAACGCTGCCTTTTGATGAAAAGCTCATTTGGAAATGTTTACTGTTCCTTACCCTGGCAACGCCTGGTGTGGTTTCAGAACCAAAAGCCACCCTCTGGAAGGCTGCTGCCTGAGCTGCTCACCCCAGGGGAGGACGGGAGGGGTCTTCCTTTTTGCCTGCTTCTCACCTCCTTATCAGGACACAATTTCACCTCCCCGGACTCCTTCGCCATCTCCTGCCCACCGAACCACACCCCAGGGGGGTCAGGGTGCAATGGCCTCTTCCTTCCGCATCCCGCTACCTAGTGGCAATTATTCCCAACTGACATGGGGCTTTCAAGCGTTCAGGGCACTTCAGCGACACTGTCTGGCTGCCGCCAGTATCGTTGTCCCCGTACTGCTTTAGGCTGAGAGAGGGGGTATGCACAAGGCCACTTAGCAAGCTTGTGGCAGGGGGAAATTCAAAGCAGGCACTCTCTGAGCGGGAAGTCCGCTCTGCAGCAATGACAGGGCACTGGGTCTCGAACACCTGCCCTACATGGCGCCAGCTGAAGCATTAAAAGCCCAGTGAGCCCTCTAGCAAGAGCAATGAGGAAAAGACGCAGAGGGCAGGGTGCACATGGCAACACGCCTGGACTGATCAGCTGGGCGGAAGCAAAAAGGCGACGATGGGGACCAGCAGGCAGTGAGAGGGATTTTCAACAAGACCAGTAGAGACGGGGCGGGCTTCTAATCACCCCTTTCTCACAGATGCACTCTGAGAGCCCACAGACTAGCTTCTGGTCCCCCTTCCCATCCTTGCCCTAAGGGCTCCCAGCAAAAGAAGCCATTTGACCTGTTGTCGCTTGTGATGCAGGCAGCACACGTTCCAGTCGGCTCTTCACTCTGTTCATAATAATGGGCATCCACGTGGGCTTCTTCGGCTTTCTTCTTTAGGATCTCGCCAAATCTGTCTGTTCCAATGCACCCAAAGAATGTCGCCACTTTGTAAGGGCTCTGGATCATCCACTGCAGACAACACACAAGTGGAGACAGGAGAGACAAGTTTGATTACAATACATGAAACCATATTTCTAATTACCTATTTCTTGATATTCTGCAAAAAGTAACCAAAAGGGTGCACATCGTAACATACAGACAACCACAACTATTAATGTTCAAACACAGCAATTAAACAATAAAATCAATAGTATCAGTGAGTCTTTTCCCCCTTTCGTTCATTTCTACAAGGATGAGACTGACATTAACCAAGTCTTAGCTTACTGAAAGGATAAAGACACAATGATATTGTTTAGGAAAGTACTGTGTAGAATGCTGTGTAGTATGGCTGTGAGAGTTGGACTACAAGGAAGGCCGAGCGCCGAAGAATAGATTCTTTTGAACTATGGTGCTGGAGAAGACTCTTGAGAGTCCCCTGGACTGCAAGGAGATCAGATCAGTCAATCCTAAAAGAAATCAACCCTGACTGTTTCCTGGAAGGCCAGATAATGACACTGAAGCTCAAGTACTTTGGCCACCCAATGAGAAGGGAGCACTCCCTGGAGAAGACCCTGATGCTGGGAAAGATTGAAGGTCAAAGAAGACGGGGACGGGGATGGTTAGACAGTGTCATAGATGCAACGAACATGAAATTGAGCAAACGTCAGAGGACGGCGGAAGACTGGAAGGCCTGGCGTGATCTGGTCCATGGGGTCGCGATGAGTCGGACTCGACTGTGCGACTGAACAACAACAAAAGTGTAGAATGCCACCAATTTTACATGATGTCAACACATCTACAGCAAATGAGTACTACATTCCTATAAAGCAGAACCAGCGGTTCAGTTAGCTCAAAAGCCGTTTTAATTAAGGACTGCTAATCCATGAAATGCCCTGACCTGGATGGCCCAGGCTAGCCTGACCACGTTGAATCCTGGAAGCTAAGCAAAGTCAGCCCTGGCGAGTACTTGGATCGAAGGCCACCCAGGAACACCAGGGTTGCTACACAGAGGCAGGCCATGGCAACGGCAAACTCCCTGTGGATGCCTCTTGCCTTAAGAGCCCTACGGGGGGTTGCCATCAGCCAGCTGCGATGTGATGGCACTTCCCCCTACTATCCATCAATGAAACTGATTTTTTTAAAATTTGCCTGTGGCACAAAGTGTCAAAATACCTGCAACCCACCAACACCAATTCTCCCCCACCTCTGTAATGAAATTAGGATGGTCACTGCTAGATAGTTTTTTGTGCGTGGAATATTTTATGGAATAGCCTTCCAGAAGTTGGTAGAAAGGCTTCAGCTTTGAGATCCCACAAGTTATACAATGCAAAACTATTAAGGTGGGCTTTTGAAACTGCTGTGTAATTTTTGATTACATACATTTGTGAGCTTTTGTGGACTTTGAGCTGTGTATAGTTTTATTGTAATTATAACCTGCCTTCAGTACAGGTGGGAGAAAAACGCTCTATAAAGGGGGAATGGTTTTAAGCAGCCTTTCAGTGACATAGCCAAGAGGAGAGTGCAAAGGTACAATGAGAGGAAAAAACACAGAGACCGTTAATACTTAATAGAAATAACATGGATATAATCCTCCAAGCACTCCTAGACCTTACACAAAATCTACAGAAAATAATGGAGACTACCTCTTTGCAAACAAATTCTATTTATTTGAAAATGGATGGATAATCCTGTTCTTACTATTGCTGTTCATTCAAAATGAGATCTTTGGTTTAGTCTACTTAGCATTCCATTTACTTATTTGTTTATGACATCCTATCTCCCCTGAATGTTGAGGTATTGGGATGAATTCTGGTATATACATTCAGGATACAGTTCAATGTATCATGTACTACCTGGACCCCTTCACCCATTTTCAAAGGGGACAGGAAAGGTGAACACAGATCAGAATGCCTTATCTCACTTAAGCACTGAAATATAATGGAATACATGTCTTGTTAAATAAGCCAGCAGAAGTTGTCATCTCATGGTTGAGCCTGTGCCTTGATATTGTAGTCAAGTGGCTGAGGGAGAACATGTTGAAGCTGTATCCAGATCAAACAGAGGCAATGATAAGGAAACTGAGATGAAGTATGCTACTCATTTTGGCTCAGACGAGGATTTCTATAGCACTCTTGGGGGTTCTACTGGAACCAGCCCTTTGATTGGCATGACAGATAAATATGGCAGTACAGATTCTTCCAGCTGCATTTAGTGAGGAGTCTTTCTCAGACTCGTTTTGGTAACCTTTAGACTACTTTAACATGCCCTATTTGCGGCTGCCCTTGAAAATAAATTCAATACTACTAGTAGTTAAAAATGTGGCAGCCAACTATTGAATTTGGTCAGCTGCTTAACTCAGGAACTTCCAGTTTTGAAATCTTTATACAGTTGTCATTTGTTACGAGGTTCAATTTAATGAGCTGGCTTTGACCTTTAAAGGACTTCATGACGTGGGACCCTCAAATCTGTATGTTTGTCTCTTCTCATATGAGCCAGTGCAACAACTCTGTTCATCTCAGCAAGATCTATTAGTTAAGGTATAAAACGATAAGAACTGGTTGTGGCTGACCTGGTTTTTTTTTTAATTGTGGCTGCCCCGTGTTATGGAACAGCACAACAGAAGCAGTCAGAGAGGTACCAACCCTCATGGTATCTCAAAGACTATGCAAAACAGACTTGTATTTGAGAACTTGCAAGAGGGGAGTTGCTGGCAGATGACTTGCCCACAGAACTGATTCTTTATTTTTTGTTTTTGAATAATTATGAGTGCCATTTTGGATCCATAGGGAGAAGAGCTTTTAAAAGAAGGAAAAATCCTAACACGGTAACAGTAGCAGGGCCTCTTAAACATGGTGCTTTAAAAATGTTCAACTTTTTAACTTTTAAAAACCTAGCCAAATGGTGCCGCTAAATAGATGAGTAATACCTCTAAAAATATCTGGACAGCACCAGTCAAGGTCAGCAAGCTGCCAATGAGTCTTTAATGTGATGCAATGTATGCCTTCCCCCCCCCCTTGATTATCCAAAACCCCTATTGCCCTGGTAACGGTAGTTAACTGTTGTACGCATGTCCACCCTCACCCCCATGTGCTCATCTCCTCTACTGTACGCTAGTGTTGCTTTGATGGAACCTTACCAACCCAAGGCCACAGGTGGGGCGCAGCAAGAGGCTTCTGCTTAGTCTGTAATGAATCTAGAGTGTGGGAATTGCTTATGTTGTTTAACTGTATAAAACCATTGCTTCTCAGGGTTTGGGCGCGCTGGGCGCCTTCTAAGTGGGAGCGGGAATCATACCTATTGGCTAGTGCAATTATGAATTTGCTTTAACCTATCTGCCAAACGCTCATCTTGTTATTCTGAACAGAGAATCTGTTCTAAGTGCTTCATGGCTTCAATAAAGTAAAACCTTCCTGCAAGTGTGTACTTCATTGCCTGCTGTGGGGTCTGACAGTCAATCGCTTCCTTTTAAAAGTTAAGAGTTGAAACAGTTTAAAAGTTTAAAGCAGGAAAGCCGGACAGAATGGTGAGACAGAACAGACAGCGCTGGGGGGGGGGGGGGGCCTGTTAGTGAAACAAGAAGGAGCCTAAAGCTGTCAGGGATGAGTCGGCCAACTGGCATCATCATCATCCGTTCCTTCCAACTGCAGTCACTCAGTTCATCCAGTCAGTCTACACTATGAATTAAGGGCTAGATCAATTTACCAGTATGCTAAAAAACTAGTTATAATTGTTTTCTAATAAGAGATTAAAATAAATGATCATGTCTCCATTTCAAATCAGCATTAGTGCGGTACCCGTGGGTTGCAGAAAGGTTAAGCGAATGAGTTTAAACACATGTTTCGTCAGCGCTCCATTATTTTTAGAAGCTAAAGATGCTTCATTCTGTGCATAATGCAGCTAAGCTGATGAGAGGGATAATGTGCTTCCTTTTTACTTGCGAACTCTTCAATTTGATAAGATTCTAAGCCAAATGCCCCCTTTCAAGATGAGTGGGTACTATTTCCTCTGATACACACTAGAATGGCATAATTATTCTCTGCAGCACTATGCACTGAGAACTCATGCAGGGGTGCTGCCTTCTTTCTGCATGCTTCAACCGTGCATCCCATACATTGGGGGAAGCTTCACGTATGTATGTTGCGCTACACACCTACTCCCTGCTCTTTGCATTCCTCACTGTGAAAGATGGAGTTTTTTAACTGGCCAAAAACATTACACGTGTCGTCATACTGAAGGAAGTTAAGACATCTGAAAAACTGTGAGAAATGTAACCCTTCCCAAAACCCCAGTGCTTCTTACTAGCACTACTTCTAGCACCAGCGTTTTTCAAACACATAATCTGAGCCAAAGTTTACTAGCTCAGAACCACCACAAAAGTCTTCCTTCTGGATGAGCCATTGGAATAAGGACTGAAGTCTGAACATTGTAGCCGAACATATAGATTTAATTATTTTAGAAGTGTATACCCTGCTGTAATGAAGCACATCAGTTGCAGGGAAGGGTGGGCTCAGACTTGAGGGGGGGGGGGTGAGCTGAACCCCTTCTTGCTCTCTCCTTTAAGGTCTTGCTAAAGAGTAGCTCTGGATCCTCATCAGCCTTTAATTCATCCTTTTCTGTAATGTCTCAGGCGGGTGGAAAGACTTGCCCCAACTCACAGGTCTGGCCTCTCTCACAGATTAGGGTTACTGACCCCTTTAAGAACTACGAGGGCAAGCCACTAATGTACGTCTGGGCCGGGTGCTCCAAGCTGACACATGGCCCACCAGGGATCCTCAATGAGGTTTCCCCGAGGAGAACCTCCCACTTGGTCGTCCCCCCCCCCCCGGGCATTTGGCCCCACTGGGCATTTGGCCTCCCTATGCCCCAGGGAAGTGGGGCAAGACCAAGTACACTGCTTCTTGGAAGAAAAGTGGGATAAAATAAAATAAATCCTCATCATCTTACAAAGGAGACCAAGTGAACTGCACTGTGCAGATGTACTGCTTGCAGAAAAGTACTCTCTTGCTCTCTCAACCACTATCACTGACCCT